ATTCATCTTTTGTTACCGGTATATATTGAGTATTACAATTTTAATACAGTTTTTTCCTTTCTTAAAATGTGTATACATTTTTTTGGCACCCTCTGAATTGATCAGATAAAAGTGAAACAAACTACTCTGAAGCAGGGAGCAGTACCTTTTACTTTCTTGGCATAATGCCCAAGAAGATTTCCTTAAAAAATCACTGTCTTATAGAATTAGTGATTTTTCTTTTTTGTGTGTGTGTGTCACTTTATAATTTTTGAAGACTTTTGCAGGATGGATTTTTCAGCCTTGGAGTAATTTTAGTGTAAATTAGAATTTATATTTGCATATTTTGGTTATTTGTGAACCTTTTGTGAATTTTCGTGTGTTCATTATTTTGGCTGTGACATTTTAGAAGTTATCCAAATCTTTATTTTTAAAAATCTCCTTACTAATGTTCCATTATACGTCCTCTTGATTGAATTAATTTAAAAATATGACTCATTTTACATTTTTGGTTAGGTAATATATTCATATGGCACAAAATTCAACAGGAACAAAGGTTTATACAATGAAAAGTCTCTTTGCTCCTGTCTGCCACCCACCCAGGCCTTCTCCTCTAATGCAACTAATATCAGTTTCTTAGTTTCTTGTGTATCCTAGTAAAATGTAGCACTATAAACGTAATATATTAACCTACAAACAAATGCATTTTTTCTGGGGGGTTTTTTTTACACGAAAAGGGAGCATATTTTATACATTGCTATGTTTACGTGCCTTACCTTGCTTTTTTCACTTAAGAGCTACTCTCCAAGATCTATTATTATCAGTAAATAACTGTATTGGGCTTTATTGAACACATTATCATAATTTAACCAATTTCTTCTTGATAATTATTTCCAGTCTTATGCTATTGTATTCAGTGCTGCCATAAATATCCTTGTTCTTGTCATTTCACACATGTATAACTATGTAGGATAAAATTCTACCAGTGTTGTTACTGGGCCTAAGGATAATTGCATTTGTAGTTTTGGTAGATATTGCCAAATGGTCTTATATAAAGGTGTTAAACTGCCACCAGCAAAGATTTAGTATCTGTTTCCTCACATCCTCACCCAAACAATGTGTTAGCAAACTTGTTTTTACCAGACTGATAATGCAAAATGGTATCTTACTGTAGTTATAATTTGCATTCCTCTTAATTATGAATGAAGTCAAACTTTTTTCCTTAATGATTAAAAGCCATTTTTTTTTCCTATTTCATAAGTTGTCTGTATATATCTTTCACCCTTTTTTCCTATTGGGCTGGTAGTCTGGTTTCTTAGTTGATTTGTAGTTCTTTATTTTTAGGAAAAAGGCTTAGGGCAAAAAAACTTTTCTTCCCTTCTAGGTTCTTTGGCTGGTCTAATAATTACATTGGCATGAGAGATTAGTAGGAGGAAAATTTTAATTTTGTGCTTAAAGGGATCCCCTGAGATAGGAAACTCAAGGGCAAGTTGGGCATTTAAAGCTTGTATGCCAGCCTGAGCTAAGGAATGGGATAGGACCCTGGGGCTTCAAAGGGGAGGGCAGTAGTAATTCACAGGATGATAAGAGCAGATTTAATTGGTATAATTTCTTTCAAGGGATTCCAGGAAAATACAGAAGCAAATTTCTTTAAAAAAGTCATGTGTACATGATCAGGTATACACAAAACTCATGTACCTCAGAGCTCAAAGACACAGGAAGTATTTTGTTGCATGATTCTATACTTTTTTTTTTCATTATTTTTTGGTTATATACATGGTGAGTGGAAGTAAAAAGCTGTTTTGAATAAGAATACCAAAAAACAGAAGTGTTGTGTTGGGATTAGTAGAACACTATTGGCGGTTGATTCTAAGCCCTCTCTCTGGTCAGCTGCCTGACTGAGGAAACAGTATTAGATCTCTGAGCCTGATTTTAAGTATCTGTTGTTAAACAAAAACCTTCACAGAGGCAAGTTTTTCTGAAAGAAAGGTTTTATTGAGGCATATGCTAGCACTAAAAAGGATCAGGCCCTGGGGCATGTGGACTAGCCACCCAGCAGCAGGCCGAGATGAGAAGACAACACAGCCGCTGTCCTGGAGCTGACAGGGCTCTTTTATACATTTAAGTCTGAAGAAGAAAGATGGAAGTTGTTTTGAAAATTTACATTGGCCAGAGATAAAGGGGATGGGAGAGGGTGAAGTGGGGCTAGTCCAGGATAGGTGCAAAGTCTGTAAGGAAGAACTGTTTGCTGTTTTGGATTGGTTTGGGCAACAGTCTGGAAAGGTCGTGTAAGCAAGATGCGGTGGTGGGCTTCGACTATTTTCTCTATATAATCAAGGAAATAGCCACCTGGAAGTTAATCCAAAGTTTCAACATACATTCAGGAATGTAACCAGTCCTGTTGGTTTGGGCCTGCAGCTGTTAACTGATTAGTTTCTCTTACCACTTCCCTCCACCTTCCGGCCTGCAGTAATTTAATATAGAATATCTCCGAATTGTTTTTCTTGTCATTATTCAATTGTGGGGTTAAGTAAGGAGAGTGATTGCCAAACCCTTTCTTAGCATGGAACTTCGTTTAAATGAAATTTTATACAGAAGTATAAACAAAACCTATTACTACAGACCTGCGTGGGGCGGGAGACTTTCCCTCTTGTGCCTCTGTCCCTGATGAACACCAGATTGGGTGACTAAATTTAGCTCTAAACCTTTGTTTTTGTTGTAATAATATTTTTCAGTCCTGTCCAAAATCTTGCTGCTTGGGCGTTCTTGGAGTCTTTTCCTTTAATAGAATTGTAAAATACTAGAGCAGGAAGGACCTTGGTGGTTTTGTAGTTCAGAGTTCTTAATCAAAGAAGTGAGGATGGACTTTGGGTTGTCTGAAGCCTCTGAAATTATATGCAAAATTTTGTTTGTGATTTTTTCCTCCTTTAGGGAAAAAAAAGGCCCATAGTCTTTACCATATGTTACTAAGATCCATTCAGATTAGCGGTGGGAATAATTTCAGAAGCCAGTTGCATACAGGATAATAGCCAATAAAAAATATTTCTTAATAAGCCAAATAAAGAAATATCAAACTTTGAACAAATGACAGAATAATCATACTATAGTTCTAGGTAAAGAGAGCTGAAGGAATAAAGACCAAATTTAATATGAAGTATACCTTTTTGTATGAGTGGTTACCAACCAAGAGTTGATTTCTAACTACCAGCTCAAAAATAAAAGTCCCCTGTTGCTAGAGCACGTTGCTAGGGAATGAAGAATGTGGGGTTGGCAAATAGGCTGACTTCCTTGGTGGGGCTACTGAGCCCACTGCCCATGAGAGTAACCCTAACACAGCAGGACCTAATACCCCAAGGGACTTCGGAGGGGTTTTTTGTTTTGTTTTGTTTGTTAGCAAAGAGTTGCCTCATCCAAACTGAAAGTCTCCAGTATTCATGGTCTAAATGTCCACTTGCTATAGTTGTTTCTCCACACATTCTTACTGATAAGCCCCAGTGGGACCCCTCAGCAGCTGAGCTGCTGGGGTGCCTATCAACAACATCAGATGAGCTGATGACACCCTGAAACAGCTTCATTCTTATATCAAAACAACTTCTAACAACTTTTTTTTGTTTTTATCATAAACAAGTGGATTAAAACAACTTCACTTTACCCATAAAAAAGTGGATATGAAATCATTAAGTCAATATATTACATAGATTTTTTTCCCCAGTTTGCTACAACCTACATATATAATTTTCCATAAAAAGGAATTTTTATTTGAGGCATTTCACAGAAATGACAAAATGATTTGTGGTTTCTAATACACTTTCTCATGAGACTTTAGTGCAAATTATTGAAATTTCCTTATGCACCTGTTTCTGTACAATCATCTTTTTCGGTTAGCTATTATATAGTGGCATGTAATCAGGTGGGCTCATCAGATTCATCTGTGGAGCATTTAAAAATATAATACCTCAGCTCTACCCCAGAGATTCTGATTAAGTATATCAAGAGCAGAGCCCAGCATCCATAGTTTCTGAAAGCTCCACAATTGATTTAAATAGGCATCCTCGCTGAGAAAGTTGTCTATAAACAGCTGTTTTGTAAGATACCTACTCTGCACTTGACAGCAGCAGGTATCAACTTTTGAACTATTATAATATTTTCAAGCCTTCACTTACATTTAGCTGTTAAACTTAAGGGGAAAGCAGCATATTTGCATCACAAAATAAATCCAAATACAGATACTATACATATTTAAAAGCTAGCTAAATGAAAATCTTGTAAAAGATTCCATTTAATATTCTGTATCTAATTCATGATGTTTTGGGTTTTATCTTTTTGTTCCTAGTGAATGGAGTGCCATAGAAAAAGAAATGGGTGATGGACTGCAGAGTGCTGGTCATCATATGGATGTGTAAGTACCTAGGCATTTAAGGTATAACCTGAGGTGAAGTTTAGTGGTGAAGTGTTAGTGACTCTTATGTTCTTCTGTATTTTTCAAGTTTGCTGGCATTTATATTATGTTTTGTGTATACAGATCTGACTTAAGTTTATCTCAGGAATGCAAGGTTAATTTAACATTCAAAAACCAGTCAGTCTAATTCACATTTCAGAATAAAGAAGAAAATCTGTATGTTCATTTCAGTACATGTACAAAAAGCATTTCAACATTCATTCACAGTAAAAATTCTTATCAAACTGAATAAAAGGAATTTCCTCAGTCTAAAATTTACAGCTAATATTATACTTAATAGTGAAATATTGATGCTTTCTCCTAAGATGAGGAACAAGGCAAGGTTATCTGTTCTCACCACTTGTAAACAGAATATCAAATAAGAGGCATAAATCTTAGAAAAGAAGAAGCAAAACTGTCTTTATTTGCAGTTAATGGGATTTTTTACAAAGAAAATCACAAAGAATCAACTAAAAACATTATAGAACTAACAACTGAATTTAACAAGGATGCAGGACATAAGATCAATATATAAAAAATTGTTTTTACATATTAGCAATAATTAGAAAATAAAAATTTAAAAACAATGCAATTTATAATAGCATCAAAACAGAATACTTAGAGATTAATTTAATGAAAGATGTGAAAGACTTCTACACTGAAAACTTCATATATAAACATTGCTGAGAAAATTGAACACCTAAATAAATGGAGAGATAAACCATATTCATGGATTGGAAGACTCAGTAGTGTTTAATATGACCATTCTTCTCAGATTGCAATCTCAATCAAAATTCCAGTGATTATTTTTACAGAAATTGACAAGCTGATTCTAAAATTTATATGGAAATTCAGAGGACCTAGAGTAGCCAAACCATGGGGAAAAAAATCAAACCTGGAATATAGTACCTGATTTCAAAACTTACTATAAAGCTATAGTTATCAAGATAGTGAGGTATTGAGATACACAGTTCAATGGAACAGAATAGAGTCCAGAAGTATACCCACATTTATATCCATTTCAAGAAATGGTTCTGGAAATAACTGGGTATCTATGTCAGNGGCGCAGCATCACTGGCCCTCATGTGGGATCCAAACCGGGGCCCTGCTGCTCAGAGCTGGCGTCCCAAGCCAACTCCTAACAAACGTGCCACTCAGCCGGCCCAAGAAATAAACTTTTAACTACCTGGTATTCACAAACTTTTTCTTTGAGCATTTATTTTGGATCTGCATTTTGTACTTTCATTGCCTCTAGTTTTTGTTCTTATGTGGCTATCAAACAAGCTCTCTCCCTCTCTTCCATGCTTAATATCTTAAGTGGATGATAAAATACTCAGCTTTCAAGAGGAGGTTTCATCTTTAAAAGTGCAAGGATCTAGAAAAGTTAGTGGTCTAAAATGGCATTTTTCATTTTTATATTCTTTGGAGTGCCAGTCCTGTAAGATATTCCCACCTGCAAACCATTTCTCTCTTGAACAGTCATGATTCATACACGAAGAGTTAAAGATCTAAGTCTTGCAAAAAAGAAACCTATTAAACTTTATTATCTCAGTGTTTCCCAAACTTATCTGATGATAGAGCCACTTTAATAAACAACCTTTGACACTCTATTGGACTCTCAAAAAAATAATTGGGAAATAACATTCTATAGAAATTTGTTCAGAAATAGCATCCTATAGAAAGTTGTCTGGGGACAACTCTGGAAAGTTTCAGGAAGAATAATGACTATGAGCTTTGTCCTGAGAATCTAGTGCAGGGGATGGCAAACTTTCTGAAGGCCAGATAGTAAATATTTTCAGTTTTGGGGGCCATATGAATCCTGTGGAATCTATTCAGCTGTGTCATGAAAGCAGCCATAGACAATGCTAACATGAATGAGCATGATTGGGTTCCAAAAAGACTTTACAAAAACAAGCTGCAAACCTGTAGTGTGCTGCCCCCTAGTCTAGCAGGTATGTGTTTTTTCAGAGCAGGCCAAGGAGAGATGAAAAACATTTTATGATATTCTTAGGCCTCCTTCACATATTTACAATGGTGGTTCATTCACTTTAAACTGAAGTGTTGAAAGGGTTAAGATTTGTTGTATGGTTATGGCCTAATTCCTCAAATTACTCATGTATGATTAAGGAATTAGGGAGGTAATTTATCCTTAGGGTTTACATTTAGAAACTGTATACATACCAGGATTTTATTATTATTTTTTTTTAATTGGCGAATTGGGGACGGGACCAGCTAAGTTGTTCTTCAGTCTTAGTTGTGGAGGGTGCCAGTTGCCATCTGGCTGCCCATCTGCAGCTCGTGGCCTCTAAGCTCAAGGTGCTGTGTTCAATCTTAGTTGCGGGTTGGGCGTAGCTGCCATCCCATGCGGGAATCGAACCGACAGCCTTGTTGTTAAGAGCGCACGCTCTAGCCACTGAGCCATCCAGGTGGCAGCTCAGCTCAAGGTGCTGAGTTCAGTCTTAGTTGCGGGCGGGCGTAGCCCACTATCGAACAGGCAGTCTTGTTGTTAGGAGCATGTTCTCTCACCAGCTGAGCCACCCTGCCACCTGTTGGCAGCTCAGCTCAGGTGCAGCATCACTAGCCCATGTGGGAATCGATCTTAAGCTAACTCTTAACCAACTGAACCACTTGGCCAGCCCTTTTTTTTTTTTTTTTTTTTTTTAAGGGCTTTATGTGGCATTAACTTTTGGTCTTCCAGTTCATGTCCATAACACTTTGGGGGAGAAGTGAAGCAGTTTAATATATGTGGTGTTTTGTCTTTTTAAAAATTTTTGTGAATCACTAGGCAGTACATATTTTATCTCAGTGATCTAAATTATAATTCTGTTGTTACTAAAAATCTAATGTGTTTGTTGGTTAGAAGGAGTTATCTTGATAGAGTAGATTAGAAGTATGTTGCGTGTGTTAAGCATTTATAAAACTATCAATAGAATTGAATACATCTGTATTTTTTCCCCTGGTAAACTCCACTTTGAGGACTTTATCATAAGAAACCAGTCTGAAATTTGGAAAAAAGCCTTACTCTCAGAGATGCTTATTACATTATTTATAATACTGAAAAAAATTAGGGATAACCACCCAACAAGGAATGCTTGCATAGTCTATACACTATTAGGTGGAATTTTATGCAGCTACCATATTTTGCTGTGTATAATGTGCATCATGTTTTCGGCCTAAACTTTCAGGGAAAAAATCTTTCATTTTAATTTTTTTATTTAAATTTTATTGGTTTACATTTAAGTACTTGTTTTTTATATTTTAAAAGAATTTTAGCATTTATTTTTTAACATAATTATGGTACAGAAATTTTATGTAACAAATAATTACAAAACACAAGAACAGATCAAAGGTACAAGAAATTTTTTTACCGGTAATAAATTTACGATATTTAAGCATCATAGAAGGCTAAGAACTCTTTGTTGTTGGAAGTTTGTCATAAATTCAACAAAACCGATTATCATACGTATTCCAGAGTATTATTTTGCATACAGATATCGTTATTGATTTCTAGAGTTACACTTTTAACTCATAAGCATAAATAAAAGAATTAAAAACATTTATATAGACATGGAATTAGTACTACCCATGTATAATGTGCATCCTTATTTTTCCCTCACAAATTTGGGCAAAAAAGTGCACATTATATATGGCAAAATACGGTATTTGAACTACTAACTTGCTGAGTAAAATTATTAATCTGCTGGATAAAAATGTTATCATTAATATAAAAAACTTAGAGAATTAAAACCTATTTATAGAAAGAAGTATGAAAGTGATTGCATAAATATGATGACAACACTATTTTTTTCCCCTCCTGATAAGACTTTGGAAGATTTAAGTTTTTTCTTTTCCATATTTTCCAAGTTTATTGTTCTAAGCATGTTTTTTTGTTTTTTTTAATGAGGATGAAATCTTTTTTTTTTTTTTAAGTAATCTGTATATAACTAACCTAATAACAATTTCTTTTAAATAAATGTTTATTCCAGAGAGTAGCAGATCGACTTTATGGTGTATATAAAGTACATGGGAATTATGGGCGAGTTTTCAGGTAAGCATCATATAAACTTTTAAAATAAACAATTATCTCCAATTAACTTTTTGCCTAAGAACTATAATTTTTGAAAATTTTGACTCTGGAAAATAGATTATTTTTAAAAATCATATCCTGTAATAGTAGTTTTCAAACTTTTTGTTTTCAAGCCTTTCTTTAAAAAAAAATAATGAGGAAGTCCTATATACCAGGGGTGCCGGGGGTGCCAAAAAAATGTATACCCATTTTAGGCGATGTTATCTATGTATTACTTTTCAAAGTTGAATTGAATTTTGGTAGCAATGTGTAGTATGATGTTCACTTGAAAGATGGCATTAATCAAATGAATGCTAGCGTCACCATGCTACAGGTCTGGACAGTCAAAGAAAATGGTGGAAGCACAGCATTTAAGGAGTGCAAGACCATTTTGAAGTGGTATTTCAAATTCGAGAATGTTGTAGAAGTATAACAGTGGAGGTGTGAGTATGCAACAGAACCTCCAACGCGCCTAACAATTGCACATGTTCATGATAAGTTTGAGACACATGGTACTGTGTGAAGAAATTGAAATGGCATGTGCAGCGATACAAGTGGACACTTTGGTCAGCATTGCTCAAGCAGTAGTTCGCCGTAATCAGAAGTGTCGACACTGATGGTAACCACTTTGAGCACCTCTTGTAATTTCAGAAGTCAAACGTGACTTGTATTCATCTTTTGTTACCGGTATATATTGAGTATTACAATTTTAATACAGTTTTTTCCTTTCTTAAAATNTTGTAATACTCAATATATACTGATAACAAAATATGAATACAAGTCACGTTTGACTTCTGCAATTACAAGAGGTGCTCAAAGTGGTTACCATCAGTGTCCAGACACTTCTGATTATGGCGAACTACTGCTTGAGCAACGTTGACCAAAGTGTCTACTT